CGACCCGGCGCTGCCCGCGGCCTTCCTCTCCGTCCCGTCCCCGTTCCTCCCCTCCTCCCCGCCCCTCCCCGCCGCCCTCGCCCCCTCCCACGCCTCCTTCCTGCCCCGCGCGCGCGGGCCCCGCGCGCTCGCCGTCTCCGTGTCGGTCACCGGACCGGTCTCCACCGCCGCGTCGCGGCTCCACCACATGTGGGGCGAGTTCGCGCGCTTCGTGCGGCTGCACGGGAACCAAATCGCGCCGCTCGGGTTCGCGTCCCTCGGTTCGGCCGTCGGAGGCGGCGGGGGCGGATGCGGGGGAGGGAATGGAGGGGGCGGCGGGGGAGGGGGTGGTGGGGGCGCCGATGGGGCGGCTGAGGAGGAAGGGGTGGCGCGGGCCGAGGCGCCCAAGAAGGTGCTGATCCTCATGAGCGACACGGGCGGCGGCCATCGCGCGTCCGCCGAGGCCATCAAGGCCGCTTTTGCCCAGGAGTATGGCGACGACTACCAGGTTCGGTTTGCTTCGTCTTGCGGGGTTCGCCCGTTTAATTTCAGGATTCGATGATACGTCTGTACCTGTTGCTTGCTAGGCTCCCGTTCCATGTTATACTGTAGCAATACTTAACATGCACAATGCAGCTTGTTGCAACTTGGTCGGAGTAGTTTTGGTGATATGATACTATTGGTATGGTAGTTGCGTGCTACCCTGGTTAGGTATGTGCTCACGATGGCAAATTGTTACAGCAAATCATGCGCTAGCTAGACTATCAGGGGTGACTTTAGATAGGATGGTGAAACATTTTTTTCTTGAGAAAGTCAAATGCAACTTTGGGGTGCGTTCATTGCAAAATTCTTGCTATCATGCGCTAGCTAGACTATCAGGGGTGAGTTTAGATAGGATGGTGAAACCTTTTTTTCTTGAGAGAGTCAAATGCAACTTTGGGGTGTGTTCATTGCAAAATTCTTGCTTAATTCGTTCATATGTTGTACAGAAGTGACGTACATTTTCAGACACGAGACTTGATGTTGTTACACAGTTCTGGGGAGATATCCACTCAACCTAATTGTGGCTATTACGGATCTCACGTTTGCATTTGTGTAACTGGTAGAAGACATGAAGTTGGGGTAAGGAGAAACGTGACCGAGAAAGCGGATTGGGCCCCCCTTTTTGATGCTGCTTATGGGTCAAACCTCAGTTAGACCGGTACCACTACGCTTTGCCGGTAGCCCTGTGCAGATGTCCATTTCTCACGTAGTTTGATTTTGGAGCCCTTCTTTCCTGCACTTGACTCCTTGTTCCCAAATTATTCTTTAACTTGTTAGAGCATGTTTAGCAGGTGCACTATCCTGCCACCAGCCCATATATTTACGGGCGGGATAGTGTATCCGGGAATAGGTATGCCAAATTTGCAGCAGCCTGTAAATACTATACGGGCGGCCCGCAAATCGCCCCCTCCAGCCGCTATATGTACGGGGAGGGGGGCGACTTAGGGTTCCCGTCTCACATCTAGCTCTGCCGCGTTCCTTCCCCTCCGCCGCTTTCCTCTTCTTTTCTGCCACCGTTTTCGCGTAGCTCCAGTGAGCAATGTCGGGCGAAGGCCGCAGAGGAGGCGCTGGATGTGTGGGCCGCTGCGTGTCGCCGCCGCGCAAGTGTGGCCGGCACGACGCGGAGGCCGGCAGCTCCAGCGGCCACGCCGTCGAGCTGTGGCACCGTGAGCATCGCAACCGCGCGTCCTCTTCCGCAGCGGCGGGAGCCACCGCTTCGGCGAGCTGTACAACGCACTCTGGCCGTCGGCTAAGGCTCTCTGCGAGGTGGAGGTCGTGCGATTCGCCGCGAAGGAGGCGCTGGACGCCAGCGAAGAGCCCCCCCCCCCCCACGCACGCTTTGAGGCGGCACACAGGGAGTACGAGCTCGCCTACGCCATCTACAAATCCGCCTACGAGTACCACCTCGGCGTGAAGCGGTGAGCCGCCGCCGCCCTCCACCGTGAAGCCGTGAGCCACTCCATCTAGGATGTATAGTTTGTTCGTTTGTTTGTGTGTGAACTCCGGCGAGGTCCGGACTATCTAAAATGTAGCGGGAACATGTTTATCTTAAGTTTATAAATTTGCAAGTCGATTTGCGGTATCTGTTCTGCGCCGGGCAAAAAGTGCCCGCAAAATTGATTTTGCAGGCCGAGATTATAGCGGCTCTGCTAGAGATATTGATGCCATATAATGTATTCCATCCTTGTACCATTGGTACACCAGATCCACGTCGCCGCATCCATCCATTGCGGAAAAAACGGTGCGATTCAAATTAGTTCCTCCTGTTCACGAGCACCTCTTACACTTGCAGTTCATACTTTGTTTTGTGCACATATTACCCCAGAAATTGCTTTTGGCACAGATCAACATTGTTGATTGGTCGGCTCAGATATCAGGCTCATCTGGACATGAGAACCAAAAAGCTGTGCCCATGATTTAGCATCCTTTTCGGTTATGTGTATCCGATGTAGCAGAGCAGGGGATTTATCATGTCTTCACTTGTGATGATTGCCATCCATGTTAAGCTTCGTGCACTAGCCAATGCAACCAAAAGTCCGAACTGATGGAAAGGGCTAGGCAATCCACATATACACTTCAACACCCCCTCTCACGTGTGAGGCGGGAAGTCAACATGTGGATAGACTCAGAGGTATGGCTCAAGAGGCCTATACATGGCCAAAGGGGGGGCAGCAGCATTTTTTTTGTATAAACTAGCAAGATGCCCGTGCATTGCACGGAACATCAAGATGCATTTTTTCACAAAACACCTGTTGTGATTGACCCATGCGGGAGTAATCCATGTGTAAAAACTAATGATATCTCGAGAAAGAGGAGAGATAAGGTGAGGAGGAGTGGGGGGTGGTGGTGATTGGTGGTTGGACTGAGCGGAGGCATGGGGATGGACGACGCCGGCAGCGGCCACCATGCCAGATTGTTCCAGAGGCTTCCTTTTTTAATTGCTCAACAATAAGGTTGTGGGAGATAAGAATGAACGAGGGAAGGCCTTATCTGCAAATGTGGAGAGAGGTGCGGGTATCTTTTTGCAAAATTGCCATAGTTTGCTTTCTGTCCGTCAGATATAGATCGGACGGTCTATATTGCAAGATGGCAGGCACACCATCATCACCAACTCGGTTTTTTATAGGAAAAAGTAGAGAAATTGCGAAAGCCATGACTTGAACTCAAGACCTTAGCTCCGATACTATGTTAAGCTTCATGCACTAGCCAACACAACCAAAAGTCCGAACTGATGGAAAGGGCTAGGCAATCCACATATACACTTCAACAATCCGTACTGGTCTGGTTCTTGGATATTAGGATGAATGAATGATTAGTTTGTGTTTTCCTTATGTCAATTGATTGTTAGTATTGTTATTCTGTTTACTTCTGTTTTGTAGTTAATGGTTTTCTTTGCAGGTATTTGTCACTGATTTGTGGACTGAACATACACCATGGCCTTTCAACCAACTTCCCAGAAGCTATAGTTTCTTGGTGAAACATGGACCCTTGTGGAAGATGACTTACTATGGTACCGCACCACGAGTAATTCACCAGCCACATTTTGCTGCAACAGCAACATTCATAGCGAGGTGAGTACTGTAATTTTTCACGTTGAATGAGCTTCCAAATTATAATCTTAGTTTGCTTAAAAGACTTGTATTTTGCCCGATCTAGTCTAAGAGAATTTTATAATTGAAATAATAGCTATAATGACCATCAGTTTTGTAGACAATTTTGTGCTAGGGCCTCAATTCTATGGTTGGGTGTGATGCTGTCATCATGAGACGTACTATAAGGGGGTATGCAGGATTCACAAAATCCTGCTGGAGAATGTCTGAAATCTAGCTATTTTCAAACTTAGCCACAATGACTGCATATTTTACATAATTTATTTGGTACTGTATGTATCAATATTGAAGTGATATATATGTAGACGAGATTGCTTGTTAAAGATGTGTTATACTGCAGCTGCAGGTCTGGGTGCTTATTTTGCAATAGCAGATTATATAATCTAGAATTTACCCATCTTTTCTTGCAGAGAGGTTGCCAAAGGTCTGATGAAGTACCAACCAGATGTGATTATCAGTGTACATCCTTTAATGCAACATGTCCCCCTTCGAGTTCTACGATCCAGAGGGTTATTGGATAAGATTCCGTTCACAACTGTTATCACCGACTTGAGCACTTGTCACCCAACATGGTATGCTGGTTTCAATGTTCGTATAATTCCGTGCCAGTTTTTGGTTCCTTACCTTTAAGATAAGCGTGCAATTGATCTTACAGTGAAATAGTTATGCTACTGCTTTCCATTAGGTTTCACAAGCTTGTGACTAGATGTTACTGTCCATCAGCTGAGGTGACAAAGAGAGCACTAAAAGCTGGACTGAAACCTTCACAAATTAAAGTCTATGGCCTCCCTGTGCGCCCATCTTTTGCTAAACCTGTTCCACCAAAGGTAAACAATTTCTTCAACCAATAGCACTACATTAGCTTCTGGATATTTTGCCTTCTGCACAAGTTACTGAGTGGTATATCTATGTTTGTCTTGTTTAATAGGATGAATTGCGTAGGGAGTTAGGTATGGATGAATATCTGCCTGCGGTTCTATTAATGGGCGGGGGTGAAGGGATGGGTCCTATTGAAGCCACTGCTCGAGCTCTCGATAATGCTTTATATGACGAAAGCCTTGGGGAACCAAGGGGTCAAATACTTATAATTTGCGGACGCAATAAGAAGTTGACCAACAGGTTGCAGTCAATTAATTGGAAAATTCCTGTTCAGGTCCGTCCTTAAAGCTTATTTTTTAGCTTCCAAACGCATGAAATTTGCAACAGTAATACCTTATCAGTTTCTCCTACTAAAATTTTCTGTTATTTTGGCCACTCTTTCTACCCTCACCAAGTTACTTCTTTAATGTTTCTTTTCCTCCTAATCTTAGGTGAAAGGTTTTGTTACTAAGATGGAAGAATGCATGGGTGCTTGTGACTGTATCATCACAAAGGTATGCTCTACATTAGAATTGAGATCATGCACTTGGTGATGTGATATGATATTTTTGCATGATTGATGTTATCTGAGAATACATGATCTATGGCAATTTGCAGGCAGGACCTGGTACTATTGCAGAGGCGATGATTCGTGGTCTCCCCATTATTCTAAATGGTTACATTGCTGGGCAGGTAATTTCTTCTGCCACTTGTTGTAGGGTCTGCATGATTCTATTCTTTGGCTTGGAGTTCTTCACTCTGGCTTGTAATGTTGTTCAGTAGTTTCGTATGAGACATGTGTGTTGAACAGTCAGTATATCCCTTGGTTTTCTCCATGAATCTATGCTGAATATGCTGTAGTAGTGGTGGTAAATGAAAAATCACTAAAATAGTGGTGTGCCATACTATCATATATCGCACTCCACCACTCTTGCTTAGCTGCAAATCACATGCCATTTCTGTTGTACGTATCCTTAACCAAAATGGACTTGTGCCCCTGTTATTGCAATATACTCCCTCAGTTCCTAAATATAAGTCCTTTTAAAGGTTCCACTATAGACTACATACGGAGCAAAATGAGTGAACCTATACTCCGAATGTAGTCTCTATAGTGGAATCTCTAAAAGGACTTATATTTAGGAATGGAGGGAGTAGTAGTTTGTACCATGCATTATCCATTTACTTTGTGCCTGCGGTGCACGCAGTTACACTGACCATAGCTTGCTCCAAAACTGGTTTTGATTATTCTGTACCTTTCTTTTATGAATCACTCCCTCCATTAAGAAGTTGTAAGGCTGTCTGAAGCAAAATTTCGTGTACAATATCTTGGTAATGGTTGCAAAATTATGACCATATGAAACTGATTTTTACAAATTCACAACTTTTTGCAAAGTAGCCTACGTATAATTGGATTAGTTGTTGGTCAAATCATGTTTTGGACACTCAAATTTCTGAACCTTGCCGCCTGGGGCGGGGGTGGGGGGTGTTATGTAGATGGAAATAAATCATTAATTATTTCTCTTATATATCGACAATTCAGTATAGCAATGGACGTTGCAATATACTTAGAGTAACTCTAGCATAGTCGCCATATGGGATATGGAGCACGCTCTATATGGATGTGGGAGAATATCACATGGAAACCAACATTCAGTGGAAACCGGTGAAAACCACGTGGAAAAGATATTTTGAAGTTTTGAAATAATCTAAAAGAAATACGGGATGTTAAGACTTAAGAGAGTGATGTTCTATTGCCTTGCGAAAATTCCAAGTTCAAACACACTACGGGATGTAAGGTATGAAAATAACAAAATCCCATAATTTTGTTTAGATTTTTTTGGAACTTCCAAACATGGTTTTCACAAAGTTTTCTTTGAATGTTGGTTTCCATGTGATATTTTCCGGATGGGTGTGGAGGCCATGGCTGTTGTGCTCAAACACAGTCGTCATAATGTGGCATCCATACTTTTATTTTATTTGTTCCTATTTTTTGTCATTTTCTTCAATTTTGTATGGGCAACTTAAGCTCAAATTAGTAACCAAACACATGTATCGACATGATAACTTGGTAGCAACTATATTCAGTGACCAAAATGCGTCACTTTACATATGATTAGAAAACTGAAATGTGTTTTACAACTACATAGTACTACCTACACTAGTCGGTGGCCGGTGCCGTCTAGTCGCCGCCCTCCTCCGAGAGATCGTCGAAGTAGGTGTAGAGGTCAGACTCACGAGCGGCAGCTGCTGCCTCCTCGTTGTTGAGTGCGGGACGGTACTCTCGGAGGATGCACTCTTCGTTGCGAGTTTCGAGGGCGGAGAGCTGCAGCACGATGTCGATCGTGTCCTTGGGCTCAGGCACCGGCTCCGTCTGGGCCTCGACGGGGATGGTGTTGTTCACCAGGACGGGGGCGCCAACGGAGACGACGTCCTTCTCCTCCTTCGCCCGGATGAGGGGGCTCGATCCCTTGCGGCTGCTGCCTTGGGAAGCGCTGGATCCCCCGCGATCGGCAGATCCACCGCTGCCGCGGCTAGTGCGCCATGGGGAGAGATCGCACCGGTGCACGGCGCTTGGGACGGGAGGTTCTGCTCCGCTGCCAAGTTGAGCCAATAGGCTGCGTTCTTGCGTGCGGCTATTGTTCTGGACGGTGGAGGAGATGGGAGGGGAGGAGGCGGCTACGGCTTTGGTGATGGGGATGTCTCGCAGCCGGGGTTTTATAGCCAGGGATGAAGCCACGTGGCTATTTGAACGGCTGCCTAGGGAATCAGGGGGAGCGGTGGAGGCCATTAATGGGTGGGTGGTTACCGGTCACGTCGCCCCAGCCGTGGCGGTGCGTGTACTGGCGGCGCGCTGCTTCAAACCTGGCTGTGGTGCGAGGAAGAAGCTGAAATTTTCCTCCCACGCTGGTTGTTGAGTATGGTGCTCACGAGCTCCATAACGGGCCTCTCCAGCCTCCAAATATGGAGGCTACGAGGTCGTTTATGGAGTGAGCTCCATAAATTATGCCGATCGACACCCATATAGCGACTCTGCTAGAGTGCCATTTTGGCCCAAAATCGCCATATTGGCAGTTATTATGGTGATTGGGGCCATATGATGACTCGTCTAGAGTCTCTCTTATGCACTGATGGTGTTTTTCCTCATTTGAAGAACTGTATCATGCAACACCCTGAAATTTAGCTAGTGCCTTTTGTACGAGCACTGATCTTTCTTCACAATTTATTCATATTTTTATAATTTTGCATGACAGGAAGCTGGCAATGTTCCCTATGTTGTTGAAAATGGCTGTGGGAAGTTCTCAAAATCTCCAGAACATATCGCAAAGATTGTTGCGGACTGGTTTGGCCCCAGGTCAGACGAGCTCCAGATAATGTCCCAAAATGCCCTGAAACTGGCTCGCCCAGACGCGGTGTTGAAAATTGTTCATGATCTACATGAGCTAGTGAGGCAAAAGTCATTTGTACCAGAATATGCATGTGCAACATAAGCTCCTATATCTCGTCTTTTGAATTTAGTTAGTTTTGTTCCTTTTTTGTGCGGCATTAGTCATAGTTATTTGTGAGGATTCAAACTATCAATTGATTTGCAAATGCCATTATGAAAGGAAAAAAAAAAGGAACTCGAAAAGAATTGTGTAGCATTCCCTTCTCATTGTTGTTTTATCTTCTCGGGACTATTTCTTACTGAGACCATTTAACATGGCAAACCTTAACGCCGTTATCGCTCGACTTTGCCTAGTCGTGCTGTGCTGTGTTATATGGTCTGATGTTGGATGAGGCTGTTAAGTGTAATACCAAACTATGAGGCTGTTAAGTGTAATACTACTAAAAGTATGTGGCTGCCATGGCTTAAAAGAAGGATGAAATACCTCCTAGGATGTTGCATCCAATTTCAGACTTGGTTTGGCGCCACAAGTGTGTCATGTGCTGGCGAGAAGTTAACATGGATGTTCACCGGCACCCGGCGAGGAGAGATGGACTAAATTACTGTACTTGCACAGAACAAGTTGCAGGCAAGCGCTGAAGAATCAGAATCCCAAGCGGGAGGATATGGTATTTGGCACGTATCCGCGGGCGGGCGCTGTGACCACAGCTGTTGCTTGGTCGCTTGTGCTGTCGTCGCCATCTACCGAAAGGCAGGCAGGCAGGCTCCAGCTCTTGTGTCGGGTGGGTTACACCGTCAGGCCAGGTGAGCTTTGCACGTACTTAAATACTGTGCCGTGTAAATAGCTACGTACTCCCTCCGTCCGAAAATACTTGTCATCAAAATGGACAAAAAGGGATGTATCTAGAACTTAAATACATCTAGATACATCCTCTTTTAT